TAGAAAAGTACAACTGGACACTGGGACAGGAATTGGCAAAGTTTTGTAATAGCCGACAAGATGACTGGGATGTCTTACTCCCTCCACTGTTGATGGCCTATAGGACAGCAGAGCATGAAACGACTGGATACGCTCCAGCAAAGTTGATGTTTGGTCGAGAACTTTGGTTGCCAGTGGATCTGTTAACAGGACGCCCACCTTATGAAGAGTTGCCTGAGAATGTGTCAGAGTTTGTGAAAGTGTTATCGGAAAGGATGGATGCTATTCACCATCAAGTGCATTCAAACTTGAAAATGTCTTCTGATTCGATGAAGTTGACTTATGATAAGAGATCTACTGAAGTAAGCTTTGTACCAGGAGGCAAGGTATGGTTGTATAATCACGAGAAGACCAAAGGGAAGTCTCTTAAGTTGTCTTCTCTATGGGAAGGCCCATATGTCATAGTGGATCGTCTCTCAGACGTGACTTTCCGGATAAAATGTGGTCGGCGAGGTAAGCCAAGAGCGGTGCATGCCAACAGGCTTTGGTGTTATCACGGTCCAGGACATTTCAGTTGAGATGAAGTGAACAACAGAACAAATGACGCTGCTGAAGACGTGTCACCTGAAAAAGCTACCGTCGAAGAAGAAACTCTACTCGGTTTTGAGAAGGGAAACGATGAAGCTCATTGTATAGCTTTTAGCTAAAAAAACAAACAAAATCGTTGTTTTGAATTTTATTTCCGAAAAAGTATTGTTAAGACAGCAGAGGTCACGTGACGCTTTTATCACGCCACTTCCTTCTCGAACCTTCATGAAATGTCGGGAGACTACTAGATTGGGGTCTTGTATATATAAGACCGGCCAAGAAGTAACGTAAGGTAATGAGTAATTGAATGTATGCGGACAGAATATTGTTGGGCACGTGAGACGTTCGTTGTGAGTTATAGCGTTTGTTATAGAGCGATAGTTGAAATTAAGTGTATCGTAAAGTTGTATTCGGAATATGTTCGGCGAGGTAAGCCAAGAGTGTTCCAAGAGCCCTTGGCTGTGGTTTCGCTAGATAGTAGATAGGGACAGTGGGATTCTGGTTAATTCATTCATGCGCGTCACTAATTGTTAATTGTAGTATCGGTAAAGTTTCTTCGGTATGAGTTTTAACGGAAAATTAACTAACGAACGGAGACGTAACAGTATCCTATAAACCTGTATTATAGGAATATAACTTGTGTTTCTATCTCCTTGTATTCTAATAATATTTAATCTAAATCCATTATTTGTTTCATATAGCATGTGGTAAAGAAAACCATTAAATGTATATTGTTTCGTTGATAATACCTGTTCTCGCCCGTGGAGAATATTACTTAAAGGGACATTGTGAAAGGATATCGACAGCAGTATCCTTGAATGGTTCTGTTGGATATATCTAGAGGTTATGGACCCAAGTATGGGAAATGAAATAGATCAGTTGCATGTTATCACATGTTGCTCTGGGTAAATGCGAGGTTAATTTGACACTAAGATATAGCAGTCTGGTCTGAAATATCATTATATACAGTCTAGAAGTAAGTAGGAACATTATTTTACAAAAGGCTTGGGGTAGGGGACAAAGAAGTCTAACCTCGCATAAGCGCTTCAGTTGAAATGAGGACCCTATACGATTGCTTAATTTCATATATTTATGTTAATTTGGTCTGACAAGAAATTACTTTCAGAAACTGTCATTTAGCTTGAGGGTGGCAGCTCCTATCGGTCCATCTCCAATGATGACCCTGGATACAAGTAACTGCAAGTGCACACATCAATTTATCTTTAGTGTTTAAATATAATAAAAGTTGTTCATTTTGTTTATCACTTTTGTCCAGTCTCGCTATTTCATTTAACATCGACTTAGTTTGTAAGAGATTTAATACTACTACTACAACGTAATTTTGAACGAATCTTCCATTTAACGAACCTATCAGATGTAGTTCTAAAATTAATTCAGTTTCAGTACTTTCACTTGGATATATTACAAATCAGGTTTAGACAGTGTAATATTACTGTATTTCCACGCTTAGTTTTAAGTATTAAACTGATGAAATTGAAAAGAAAAATATATCTACATAATAGACTTTTAAGTACATATTCTTTACAAGTTTTAAATAAAAATCTTACATAATGATTCTGTATTTTTACTCTTCTAGTGACATGTTTTATCAGGGAAAAAAATTTTTTTTTTTTATTAACAAAAATAGATGCCAGAAATTACGATTTGGATGAACGCTTGGAATGATGATTCAGAATAAGTAGTATCATACAAGTACATTCCTTTATTAGGTCATGTTTGTTGATGAAAAATAAAAAAAATCAAATAAATATAATCACATGGTATACATAGATCTAATATTCTCCATTTCTTAATAATTAAGGTAAGAATTATTATTTTGTATTATGTATTGAAAGTGATTAATACCTTCACATAATTACGAATTTAACTAAGAATAACTTTTAAAAATTAAACTTTTAAAGCAACAAGCGTTTGTTGAAGAATTTAAAGTAGGCCTTGCTAAGGAAATAAATAGGTCATTAATGTTTATAAATATGAGTTATAATATTAGTTTAAATGTAAAACCTTGTGTTTGAAATAGGCTAAGGTATGTGTACTTTAAAACTTACACAATTAAATTATATATATTCTTTATTCTCTACTAATTTCTGTATCTAAAAGCAGGGGTACTAACATAATTAAATTTTAATTTTAATAAGTAATGACCATTGACTGAATCAGTAAGTAACTTTATAAATTATACTTATACTGTTATAGTGTAACTGTAAGTTTGTAACGTCAGATGTTACTTTTTTCATTGAAGTGATTATTTGAATAAAATCTGTGGACATTGGATTGTATTGCTAAGTGATACCACTGTGGTGACACATTGTTTGAATTGTAACAAAAAACAACAACAAAAGTATTAAATAGGTTTATGTATTTAAACTTAAAGGATTATATTGCATTTAATTTTATTTTTATTGTTTTGATTGATTATGGTGGATGAGGGCTGATACTGATGGGTTGAATCATGTAATTATCTTTTTTATTTTGTTACTTAATTTATTGTTTTTGGATCTGGAATGCTCAACTACATTGAAAGTACAAAGATAAGACTTAGAATATATTTTTTACTCTCCATTATACACGCACACAGATTTATACATATGAAATGTGATATGTTAAGTCATGTAATCACACTAATAAATGAGTAATATCTAAATATTTTTATTTTTGGGCAGGTAAAAAGATATGTTAGATGAGTTCACAGTGTTTTAAAATTGAATTCTTATTACTTTACATGTGATTCATATTTAATATCTGGATCCTGCATTACTGTTTTTTATCCACTTATCTTTATGGACCTCAGAAGAACTGTGTAATAATAAACATAATTTTGATTAGACAGAGCCTCGTCAATTTTGTGTACTATCATATGATATATTTTTATGAGATTGCGATGTAAATCTTGTACAGTTTATGTTTCAGAACTTCCATGTTTTAATAATGCTGTTGTTGATGCTAGAAATTTGTTAATAGGCTTAAAATTGTTTGTAGTTTGAAATTATCTGGTGTTCTGATAAATCTTTTATGATACTTTTAGGTTTTGCAGTATTTATATCCATGCTAAGAATAGCAATGGGATATTTAAGTTTATTAAATTTGTATATATTATTTGTTATTCTTAGGGCTGTACAAGTGTGGAAAATAATTTATAATTCATGATTGTCTAGAGTGGCTAAGTAAACAGTGTAGAATTGGGAATATGTCCTTTAATGTTATTAAGTGTGAAGCTATGTAGTAACAATCTGGATAAACTCTTCTCTTACCTTTCAGTTTGTGAAATAATTAAAACATTATTTAGTATAGAATTGTTTCAGAAAAAGAAAAAAAAATTACCAAGAGAGTAAAGTGTTAAGCTGAGCTTGATGAGATTTATCCTAATACTTAGAAAGGTGTAAGAAAGTGGAGGGGCTTTAATAGGTATCTTTTAAGAATTAACTGAATGTGGAAGTATTGAATAGGATATTGCTTTTGTGGTTCCTGCTTTCAAAAACAAAGAAACTGATGAAGGATTCAGGAAGTTGAAGGTCTGTTAGTCTGTTACCTATTGTAAACAAGGTTTTGATTTATTTATGATAGATAATTTATAAAAATGTCTTTAAAGGTGTCATTTAATAAATATCTCTCAACATGGCTTTAGAAATATATTTTTTTTTACATACATGTGTACATTTTGTTTTTTATAAGAATTTTCTATTTATTTTGTTATTTACATGAAGGAATCATTGTTGATGTTGTGTGTCTTTCATGTCTTTGATAAGGCTTTGCCCAAAAGCTAATTATAAAACTGAATTATTCTATCAAATTATTGTATAAAATTCTAGTGATACTTCTTTTGGATGACTTTGTCCAATTTTGAATTGATATTTACAAAGTGTAAAAGTTGTAGAGAAGATATGCTATATTGTTACCTGATTTATGAAATTTTAGTTTTTTTGAAAAGCCTATCAAGTTGCCTTTAGGCTTTCCAGACTTTGGACTTTCGGCCTTAGTATTATGTAAAGTTTATCATTCTCCTCTTAAAGTTGCGGTTATTCTTTTGGGTGAGACAACTTTTCTTTTGTTGCGGTGGAAGATGTTTCTACCTCTTCTCTTGTAAATTTGTTTCATTTGTTAATGTTTTCATAATTTTAAGTAAATTTTCAAATTATCAGTCTGCTCTTAGTTATGTAGCTTCTGTGCCCTCTAACCCAACCAACTTGTTTAATGTCTGTAAGGCCTTCTCCAATGTGACCTTTTATCAGGAGCAGAAGATCTACAAGGGAGTTTGCACACTCCTTTCCAATGGACTACCAAACAAAGATACCTCTAGACTTAATAAAGAAAGCAAACTTTTTGAAAATATTTCTTGAGCTGGTGGAAGACCCCCCTATAATAAATTAATGATATTGTTACTGGAACCTCAAGTTTAGACCATTTAAGAGTAGTATTTTACTAACATTACCATCAACATTGATTGTTCTGTTGGTTGAAGCTTTTCTCATGTTTTTTGTAACACCTATGGTAATTACTAAGCTAGACATAGAGATTGAATATTAAGATAGACGTGTACAGTCTTCTTTATAGAATACCATTCAGATTGGTATATTTTTAGATCTCTGAAACATAGGTCTTAGTTTAAAGCATAAACTGCTGGATTGGAACTAGGTCAATTTGGAGTGCTTCATTTCATTTCCTACTTATCTTAGATTTAAATTTCTATGATTTATGCACTGTACGTACTGTACATTAGTTTGATTGTATGACTCTTTCTTACATCTTACCTGAAATATCTACTGTGTATTTTTTTCACTGGAGTTAATTTTTGCTTTGTATTGGATGACTAACTAACTTAAGCACTTTCAGGAGGAGTTTTTTTGTACCACATAGAGATTGTTCCTTTACATCATTTCTTGTATATGCCTAGGTTTTGTGTAGCCTCTCCCTAGTTTGAGATGAAACTTTTTTCAAGAATTTTTCTTTAGATGTCAGTATTGCCTGCATGATTTTTCCTCAAAGGGCTTGCTCATTTGGTCAAAGATTATTGCAGATTTGTGTTATAACCTTTGACAAGTCTTAAAAGGAAAGCACATAGTCTGCATGTATGTGTTAAGTTCATCCTTTTCTCCTAAAACTTCTTCACATGTGCAAGGTATATCTGTGATATGTTCTATGGGTAATGATAGATTTATAAGTAAAACTATGATCTCTTTGCCTATATGGATTACTTTTCCACAATGTCAATATGTTTCACATTTTGTAGCTTAATCATTTCTTCCTGAAGGTGAAGATTTTACTCAGCCTTCTTTCTTGTAAGGTTCCTCTTTGCTACTTGTCAAGTATAAATGAAAGCAGTTTCATCATATAAAGTGTTGGATCTTTAGCCTTTTAGTAGTTATCTTTTGTAGTTGGGAAATGTCAGTCAAATTGTCAGCTCTTTCTATTTTTTATTTTATCCAGATTTCACTTGTTTTCATTATTTGAATGATTTAACTGTTGTATTATATGCCATTGTTCAGAGATTATTACTTTTCCAACATGGATCACTTTGTTTGACTTCATGGTTATTCTTTCAGTCTCCAAGCTCATAGAGAGCCCATAAAGAGTCTCTTCACTATCACTTATAATGAGAAGATAAATAAAATAATTCATAACTCTCCACAAAAGAGAATGAAAATGGTGAAGAACAATGTAATTATAATAGAAAAATTAAGAAAGTAAAAACTTGTGGATAAGTAAATCAAACTGCGAGTGAAAACACATGAATTCAATAAGACAGCCAATCAAGAAGTGGTCAACAGCTTCAAGATTAGAGAGAGCAATAGTTATGATAGGAGTAGTGTTGTACTCCTATTGGTGGAGGGTTGCTGCATAATTATTTGCATGTTAGGATGCAGAAATAAGTGGGAGTATCAAGGCTAGTGGCGAGCAAAAATTTGTGCTGATAGAGGCCAGTATAAGTCAAGAAAGCTTTTTGTGTGAGAAGGTAAGTATCTATTGAAAATACATTTTCAGTTTAGTTTAGGAAAATGTTAACCTTCTGTACTCAATTAGTAAATCCTTTCGTTGTAATAGTGAATGTCTTTGGTCTAATATGGTCTATTCTGTTTTTGTTTTTTTATGTCATTTATACCCTGGTTTAGGAATATGTGCTTGGGTTATTCTGATGAATTTTATTATGGTTTTCATTTTGATTTCCTCTTCTAATTAATCTTTTCCTCATGGAACCTGTTTTTGCACATTTCTTTGTTTTCCGATATGGTACATAACCTCTGCTCATATAAAGAGCTATTCTCGATCAGTGCTGCCCTCTATATGCAAATCAATTTTTGCACATGCCACAAGCCTTGAAACTCCCACCCATCTGGGATGGACTAATTCAAATACAACTCTCATACAAATCATCATGCGACAAAACTCCAACAATAAGAGCACAACACACTCTCTTGATGTATGTAACTCCCTCTATTCAATTCTACCCAACTACCACTTTTCATTTGATAGTACTCATGTTATAAGGTTTAGCTGGTGCTCTCTTCAAATGTTTTATTTTCATTTTTTTCCATATCTTTGTATTAATTTATCTCAACAAGTTTACTCTTTATTCTACAATAGTGATATTTGTAACTTGTTGAGATATTCTGAAGTGGAATTATCTTATATTTCTACCTGGTTATAGAACTTATTACTTCATTACAAAAACTTATTTATTTGTCAATACCCTTGTGTTTGGTTATTCATTTTGCATTATGAATTATATGTTAACCACTTCGTAGGTTATATGTCCTATTAACACATTTATACAGGCTTCAGGTCATGGTAATCAGCAGGAAGATT